TTTCTACCGTTCTATGGTAAATGATAGTAGTAGATGTCATATTTGAATTTCAAATTCTGCTAGTATTAATAAGGTCGTTTGATCGTAGTTTCGGAGGGTATATCGAAAACAATCTCTCTACCTGCACAAAATAAAAGTAAGATTGCGTACTCTCTACCCTCTGCATACCTGACTTGTGAGATCACACTGAGTATGTTGTTGTTTTTTTATTGTAGTTTAGTTACGTTTAATCATTTACTTTACCTTCTCTAGAATTGACTGACATTCGATTTCCTTGTGCCAAATTACAATATCACGAGTTTGAAAGTTATGAACCTTCTAACAACTTGTCGAGAATGGAGAGAGATTCAATAAAATGTGAATATTTGGATTTTTTGGCCTAACGAATAGTTGGTACATTGGATCATGTACCAATGTACATTGGATCCTTTGGGCTGCTAGTTTTCTTTTTAAGGCCCAGAATCGATGGGATGGGCTTCAAGAATAAAATGGGCTGACACTGAGGATTGGAAATGTTAAGAGTACATATACAATTTTTTGATTTTGATTTTGATTTTGTACTTATGTACATATCGTTGGGTTGTTTTATGGGCAAGTGCACAAATAGCCATTATCAGGGATGCTATTTAGAGATAAGACAGTAATAATCTTATTCTAAAATTTTAAATTAAAAATCTTAACTTCAGGACACTTTTGTCCTAAAAAATTGACCTGAAAAACTAAAATGTACTTGCTAATTCCTAAATTATAGACCTTTAGAGTGGCTACGTCATTTCTACTTGTTTTATTGCTCTATTAGTTATTATTAAATCTTACTAGTCTTCAAGTTTCAATTGCACTTGTTCTTTTAGATCATAACATAAAAAAGAAAATTAATTTCTGAAAAAGAGGACATTCCATTAATTTTTTTTGTTGGAATGGCCAACTTTAGTTCTTCAACTTCTGGCCCAATTAATTCTTGCCAAGCTGTTCTTGTCATGCAACGCCCAATAGCCAACTATCTATTTGTCATTCAAACAAAATAATCTAAGTAGTATTTCTTTATTTTTCTATCTGTCTAAATTTTGGTACGCAGAATTATTCAATAAATATGTTGAAAAAAATATACAATTAAATAGTTGAGATGCGAAAAAACTAACAGGGTGGTGATATTTCTTTATCATTGTTTGCAATTTGTGTAGTGTTGTTCGAATTTTAGCATCTAGAAAAGTAAAAGCTAGAAGTCGTCGATGGGCGTGAAGACTGGAATTGTCAAGTCGTTCAAACATGTCGAAAGAAAATAACAAAAGCAACAATTCCTTCACTTTCTCAGAATGATCTTATATTATAAATATCAAGTTATCATTTAATTCACGCAGTTGACCTTGACAAAAACAACTTTCTCTTTTTGTCACTTACGTTAGTGTTAATGACTCTTTTTTTTAACACTTCACACCTACATCTCAAAGTATCATTGGCATACTATGTTAACCACAGTTAGATTTGAACTCATACAGAGTCTTGCTCGGGAGATATTTTTCTAACCGGATTGAAATCGTGAGATAATTCAGTTCTCTAAATCATCTGCCGCCCTGGAGAAGGGGCGTGATGTTAAAATTGTTGAACCAGAGAAAGAGTTGAAAAAGAGTGGAACGAAAGCAGACAAACGAAGACCAAAAGATATAGGCTTATTACTAAACACTACCCGGAACGAAAACTAACCGGTTCTAATCGATCAGCTAAGCAAACATAGACTATAGTTCGTAATCAAGTCATTAGCTTCTATAGGGGTTTGGAATTCTATTTTGATATGTAAAGTTATTCAATTGATCCATCAAGGAGGGAAGGGAGCAGGGGTATAAGTAAGGGCTTCTTGAATGAGGTGGCTTTTTTGGTTGTCCAAGAAATAAGGCTTCACAAAATTTATGGGTCCTTACAACGGTCTCAAATTAATTTACAAGAATAACTTGTTTTATAAATATTTAGTGATATGTAGTGAATTTCTTAATACATATACAAAATTTAGGTAAAAGCTATTTGATTCACATCAACTCACATGTTATAAGCTAGATCCGCCCCTCAACGTACCACTTGTTACTTAATTTGGTTCTTAATCACCTAATAATTTTTTGTTGATTTCTTTTATCAAAACTTTTGAAGCACCCGAGAAGAAAGATTAATACCTTAGTCCATAGAAAATGTCTACGAAGTTTCCTCCAAAGCAAATGTAGGCTAATGGAAGAAAATAAACATTTTGAAATTATCATTACCTCCTAATAAATATGAACAAGTCTTGTTGACTCCATTATTTCTTTTATCATTTTCCTTGAAAAAGATGGAAGCTTGATTACTAAGCAATATTAAACTTAACAGCAAAATATTTAATGGTGAAAAATGAAATATATTATTGACCATTGACCCCTTCACGGTCCACAAAATAATTTTAATCTCTAGCCATTAGCCATCGGATCTTAGCAAGTATCTATATTTTAATCAAAATCATATTTTCTCTTATTCGTTTAATTTGTTTAGCACTAATATTTCTATTTTCTTAAGAAAAGAAAGTGTGAAAAAAAGATGAAGAAAGTATACATAACAAACAACAAAAAGAAGAATTTTCTCGTTTTTTGACAATGTTTCTTACTAGTTTATTTTAGTGTGTCGCCCCAAATGCGCGTAAATGACCAAAGTCTTTGAGTACTAAGTCAAAAATAAGGGATTAAACAACGGGGTAATTGCACTTTTGCTCCATCAACTATTGATAGAAATATGTTTATATTTAGATTATTAATATGATTATATAGATGATGTTTGGCTGAGCTTATAAGCTGCTTAAACTAGCTTATTTGTACTTTTTGACTTATCTACGCGTTTGATAAACATCCAAAGTGCTTATAAGCCAAGTGCAAATCAGCCATAAGTTATAAGTTGGTCACTCCTAACTTATGAATTTTTAGCTTATAAGCACTTTTAGTTTGACAAAGGTTTTTACTAGTTTATCCTTAATAATATTTTCTAATTCACAAAATATTTTTCCCAAAATAAATTTTCTAACTTTCTTTTCATTCTATATTCGTTGTTCATCTTTTTCTTTTCAAATAAACTTTTTAATTTATTATATTTTGTAAAGTTTTTAAGGATATTTTAGTCATTTTAATTAAAGAATAACTTATCAGCACTTTTCGACCAAATACTTGAACTGCTTATTATCAGTTTCAGCACGTCTAGCCAAACACGTAAATATTTATTTAAAAAATCAGTTTCAGCACTTAAAAATACTTTTTAGCACTTCAAGCGTATCAGCTATTTACAATCAGCTAATCCAAACGGGTTCGTCCTCAAACTTAACATAACAAATGAATAATTAATTGATTTAGAAGTTAATACTCTATATGTTTTAATTTATGTAAACTTATTTTTTTTTTATTAGTCTGTTTCAAAAAGAGTGATTCTTCTCTAAATTTATAAACAATTTAATTTAAAATTTTTATTTTACCCGTAATGAAAAGTTTTTATGGCTACATAAATGTTATAACATATTTAACGCTACAAGTTTCAAAGGTCTTTTGGCCACACCATTGTTAGGACATGTCTAAAATCACAAGTTTAAAAAGTCTTTCTTTTTTTGTTAAATTTTGTATGAAGTTAAATATGTTCACGTAAATTGAAATGGATAGAATAATTTGTTAAAATTTTGTTAATATTCATAAAAAGAAGGATCAAAAGTACACATTTCAACTAATTGAAGGTTAAAATCAAAATTTGTCAATTTTCCATGGATTAAAAGCACAAATTTCCAAAAACAGGGTAAAAAAGATAAAAACCCAACCAAACCACCGCTATAAATTTAGCAATTAACACTTCCAGCATAGAAACACAACGTAGAACAATACGAAACCAAACAAAACAAAAAAAAAAAAAAAAAAAAAACGATGTTTTCTTCCAAAATGTCTGCTCTGATCACGGTGGTAGTCACGGTGGCTATTATGGCGGCGACGGTGGCAGAAGCTCAAACGCCGTCGTGTGCTGCGAAATTAGTCCCATGTGCACCTTACCTTAATTCCACCAAACCGCCGGCAGAATGTTGTGATCCGCTGAAAGAAGCCATAACTAATGAACTCGATTGTCTGTGTAAATTGTACGAAAATCCTACGGTGTTGCCTTCATTTGGTATTAATATTACTCAAGCACTTGCACTTCCTAAAGCATGTAATATTCCTGGTGATCTCAGTTCTTGCAATGGTATGATCTTTTCTTCTTCATTTATTTTTTTCTGCTTTGGATATTCGGTATTCGGTATCACATATAGCCTGTTTGGTCAAGCTTTTTTCTTTGGCCAAAATTAATTTTTTCTAAAATTAAGGTGTTTGATCCTGAGCCAAATGTCTTAAAGGGTGTTCAACTTACCATCATTAATCGAAAAATTATACTGCATATATAGGTAAAATATTAGGTTGTAGAGATATATAACAGATATTGAACATTCTTTATCGGAGAATTTTATTCACTTCTTTCAAGTTTGAACACCCTTAAGGAAATTCCTGAATTCGTCACCAGTTTGACCAAGCTTTTAGAAGGAAAAAAATATTTTTGATTAGAAGTAGAAGTAGTTTTGAGAAGCAAAAAAAATAGTTTATCCCCAAAAGTACTTCTAAGAAAAATACACTTATAACCCGTTTGGCCAAACTGAAAAAATCAGCTTATAGATTATTTTTAAAAGGTCAAATTAATCCAAAAACATAAAAATTGTGTACAATTACATATATAAGAAAGTTACTGGTCTTAGTGAAAGAGTTGGGATTGACCTTATTGTATAAATAATTAAGTTTATGATCTCTCACTTATCATCAGGAATCTTAATTTTAGTTCTTGAAAATGTGTCTAAAAGAAATGGAATCAAATTGAGAATTCATATTGCCGCTCATAACTAATTAATTTGAAATTGTTGAGGAATTGCTGTGGAATAAATAATTTTATGTTTTGGAGTTAATGGCTTTTCTTTACTATTTCTATTTGATCCAGAAATTAAAATGTGTACTATGTTTCCAAATTTCTAATTCAGAATCTTTGAGTGTATTTAGTATGATGGAAGTCATTTTTCATACAATATTGTTTTAGAAGATATAATATTTTTCAGTGTTTGGTTAGTGAGATAAAATATTTTTAGAAAAAAGATACTATATTATATAGAATTTTACTTGTAATCATTTTCTAATTCCCTTCCTTCTCTTTTTGGTCATTTTATAAGGGAAATGTTACTCCCTCGTGCAATAACAAAAAATTTAATTGTGTTCGTATTAGTATAATTTTTCGAAGTTCATGAATATGTAATTTAAAAAAAAAAAATTAAAGTTCAGAAATCATATTTGAATTCATAACAAAATAATCCTGTTACTTTTTTTCTTTCAAAGTTGTTGTAGAGGGTACTATTTTAGTCTTGATTATTTATTTTCGTGTATAGGTAACGCTGCTCCAGGTCCTGGTTCTGAAACCTTGCCACCACCAGGTAACTAAGAATTAATTTTTTATTTTATTTTAACAAATATTCATTAATTGTTTCTCCCAAACAACTGCAATTTAAAACTAGAATTATAACTTGGATAATTAATGTTATCTTCTGTATGGGATAAGTTATATCAAAAGTTTGATATCAAATATTTATGACTTATTTTAGATCATAATTTTTAAAGTCTTTTTTATTCTTCAACCCCATATCGAGTCAAAATTCACCATATAAATTGAAACATAGAAGTACTGATATTAGTTAATACCTTCAACCAAAAAGGGGATAAATTTTATCCCAAAAGTTATATTGGGATAACCCACCTAATTCTTTGAATCAAATAGCTCCGGATATTTATTGGTTGATGATGTAACTAGGCCCCCTTTTTACGGTCAATGATAAGTTTTAGTACCGGCAAACGCGGATCTATGATTTAAATTTTATAGGTTTAACATTTAAGGTTTTTAACATTAAATTCATTATATTTTTAAAACTATGGGCTCGATCTACTATTTATTGTAATTTTAGTGAATTTTTACACATTAATTTATACTAGCGTCAAAAGTTATGGGTTCAATTGAACTCGTGACCGGAGCGCTAGTACTAGTGTTTCATTAACTTCCTTAACTATGATAAAGAAGTTCTATCTGACTTTATTTTTATTTTAAGAGCCTTGTGATAATTCTCCAAGTCATTGCTTCAAATGTGGACATTGATTTGGTCTTTGTTCAACTTACAATTTTAGGAACCCCAACGTTGAAAATGACACAATAGCTGTATTCCATTGCTTGTTCCAACTTTCCAATAATGTTGTTCTAGACTTCTCATAATAGTCGTATGAAATGTTGGACAAGGAAATAAGAAAAACTTTAATTTTACATGATACTACTTTTAAATTTTTTTGTTCAATGTTTCTAAAAAAAATACATAATATATTGCAAGAAAATTTAACTTTAAACTTTCATTTTACACTTAATAATAAATTTATATATAGAATATCGCGTGTCAAAAGTATATTTTTCTTTATTAAACTTCATTACCGTCAACACATCATCTTATAAAATGAAATTGAGGAAGTAATAGTCTTTTGCATCTTGCTATCATATATACATATGGAACTTCTCATAATTAACATGAGGGATGGCGGGATGGATAAATCCTTTCACTCTTAATCGGAGGTCTGAATAAAAAAAAATTATAGTAAGGAACGCTTTCCCCTTTAATGAGCCTAATGCGATGCAACCTGAATTAATTGGCACTTCAAAGCACTTTGAAGGACGTCGAATGAAAAACAAAAAAAGCTCTCTAATTATTACTACTAGAAGAGCTGCCACATATTGAAGTGTGGGGAAGTTTTGCTAACAATTTTACTGTCATGATTGCAATTTTTACAGCAACACCAGGTGGGAAAAATGATAACAATGGAGTAAACAAGATTGCATGGACTGGAACCTCAAGTTTACTTGTTCTTTTTGCTTCTTTAGTGCTTGCTTAGAATCACTTGTTATGTTCAATTTTTAGGGAAATATGATGATTTATTCCCTTAGTCCTTACCTAATGTACTAGTGAGAAAATTTGGCTGATTCCAAGCCAGAGGCTGTATTGTTGTTTGTTTCACTCATCGTTTATACTATGTGTAGTGTTACCTTCTTGGTGTATGGATTTGGTAGTTTTGAATATATAGTATTTGCTTGCAAGCTGAATTTGTTCTCAAATATTGGAAGTTATAGAAAAAGCAAAAAGTATTATGTATTGTTAATTAAATACAGAGTAAGTTTTAAGATATTTCGAAAGTATTTTTCAGTAACCAAACTCCAAAAGATATGACATTTTGTTTGTTGTTGAGAAATTAACTTCTCAACCAAGCTACATCTTATCCTCTCCTAGTGAATCTGTCCAATTAATCTTTCCTATCTTTCCTCTTACACTATTCACTGTCTCAAGCAGGATTTCTATTAAAGGGGTTCAAAAAAGAAAGGGACTACGGCCACTGAGAATTGAATCAGTGACCTTACAAAAATTTTGAACCCTTTGACCACTGAGCTATACTTTTGCACCGTAGTAAGGGGATTCAAAATATAATATATAGAGGCACAAAATAAATATTGCCTTATATGTATATAGGGATGGCAAATGAGCTGGTTGGGTCGGATATGAGCGAGTTCAAAATGGGTAATGTAAAAAAATGGATAAATTATCCGACCTGATCCATATTTAATGCGGATAAAAAATAGGTTAACCTGCGGATATTATGGATATCCATATTATCCACGATTTCTTGAATATGATTACTTTGGGGAGAATTCCTCGTCTCCCAAACTTGAGGAACCCTCAATTTGAGACTTTACAAATGTAAAAGTTAAACTCATTAGTTATCCATTGATTATCTATTTTCTAAGTGGATAATATGGTTCTTATTCATATTTGATCCGTTTTTAAAAAGTTCATTATCCAACCCATTTTNAGTAAAAGAATAAGAGAAGAAGAGAGATAACTTTCTTATTTCATCAAGTATTCAAGTGTGTCCCATATCACATTTCATGCCTCTATTTATACTATTACATAGAAGGTTATAAAATGATTGTCTTAAACATGACATTACCAATTGAGATCATAGGAGAAGATCATAGGAAGGGGTTATGGAGGTGTGAGAGTTACAATCATAATAGTGATGAGTAGTGAGAGGTTATTTACATCATGGCTTAAATTAGTGGGAGTAGTGGACATCCACATTTACTAATAGTTTTACAACAATTCCTCTTGGATGTCAAAAAATAGATAATATGCTTCGTTAAAATCTTACTAAGAAAAAATCCCGTGGAAAAAAACTTAGTGAAGGAAAAAAAGTACACATATATGTAATACACTTTATTTGTTGCCTCGTTAAAAACCTTACCAGGAAAACTGATCACGTCCAAAGCACATCTCAAAAGAGATATGAAACGGTCGTATGCAATAATAGAAATCCAACTAAGAGTCGGGGTCGAATCCACAGGGAGCTAAGATGGGAGTTAGAGGTATATATTTCAATTTGAGCAATTGGATTATCTAGATTGCACTTCCACAACAAGGATCTGTTTTCTTTTTCCAATGTTACTATAATGATTGCAAATTAAAGAAAGCAGACTAGAGATAATTATTTTTAAGATTTTTCCAAATGGATAAAAAACCTAGGGTTATGACCATGACCTAAGTGTTTGCCTAATGCGCTGAAAACTTTAATACTTGTTTTGTCGATTGGTGTGTATTATAGCTCTTAACTCTAAATTACCCACACAATACCTCTCGGTAAAAGAGCGATTTTTCTCCATTTAGCTTTCTCAAGACCAAATGGGCATCACCCAAAATAGTTGGTACGACCTCAAGTCGGGTTATTGCTATCTTTAGGTCGAACCTTTTAATTAGGTTAACCAATCTCTCAATTGACCTAATTCCTTGTTGGCCTAGTTATCCTAGACTAGGTCCCTCTTTCTCAAATAGAGACTAAGTCAAATAGGCATGAATTAATGTTTACAATCAGTAATTCTATAATTAAAGCATGAACTAAGCTAAATAATCAACACCCAATCATAAATAAGTATTAAATTAGATACCTGATAAGTGGAAATTTTAACTACTTATTAGCGTCTTTTAGCTTTTGTTTTAGTCTAATAGCATTAAATTATGTTCGCGAAACCAATGAAATTGTGCAAAATTGCAGGAATATTAAAAATTGGGCTCCCGAGATGAAATCCGACTCACAAAGGAGCAGTCCAAGTACAAAGCAATAAAGGGAACACAAGCACACAATGTGCGGTCCACAGAAGGAATTCTACAGCCGCAGAAAAAATTGCAGACCGCAAACAAAGAAGAAAAAATTAGCAGACATTTGTGCAAATTGCGGACCACACATGAATTGTGCGATCGCAATGCTGGGCTAAGAGTCGAAGATCAAAGAGTATGCAAAAAGAGCAAGTTCAAGCCTCAATGAATTGCAGACCACACAAGATTTGTGCGGCCGCAGAAGATTGCCTTACGGCCGCAATCCTAATATTGCGGACCGCAAAAGATCTTCCTTGCGGCTGCAGTCCAAAAATGTGTGGCCGCAGAATAATGCCTTGCGTCTAGTTCATGCCAGATGAAGAAATCTGCGGATCGCACATGGAATTGTGCGGCCGCAGAACCTCCCGAGGAGTATTTTTGTTCGAGATTTTCAGCCTTGTATAAATAGACGAGTTTCACAAAATTAGGTCAAGTTTGACCTATGAAGTTAGTTTAGCCATTTTTCTTTGCTATTTTAGGAAGTTTTACTTTGTTTTGGTGTATTTATAATAGATTTAATCATTTTAATCTTTCATTATTAGTTTAATTAGTTTTTCTTCTCTATTTTCTTCAAACCCAAGTATGAGTAGCTAGATTTCTACTAGGGTTGTTACCCAACCCTAGTGTGTAAACCTTATGGGTATCTAATTTAGTGCTTATTTATGATTGAGTGTTTATTATTTAGCTTAGTTCATGCTTTAATTATGAAATTAATTGTTGCAAATATTAGTTCATGCCTATTTGACTTAGTCTCTACTTGAGAAAGAAAGACTTAGTTTAGGATAATTTAGCTAACAAGGAATTGGGTCAATTGAGAGTTTGATTAACCCAATTAAAGGGTTCAACCTAGAGATAGTAATAACCCGACTTGAGCTCTTATCAACTGTTTTGAGTTATATCCATTTGGTCTTGAGAAATCTAAATTAGGCAAAACCACTCTCTGACTAAGAGGTATTGAGTGGGTAATTTAGAGTTGATAACTATAATATATCCCAATCAACAAAATAAGTATTAAAGTCTTTATCCCATTAGGCAAACACATAGGTAATGGTCATAACCCTAGGCTTTTTATCCATTTGAAAAAACCTTTAAAAACAATTTTCTTTAGTCTTCTTCCTTTATTTTGCAATTAATAGAGTAAAATTAGAAATAGAAAATAAATCTGATTGTGGAAATGCAATCTAGATAATCCAATCACTCGCATTGAAATATATACCTCTAATTCCCCTCTTAGCTCCCTGTGGATTCGACCCCGACTCTTAGTTGGGTTTCTATTATTGCAAACGACTGTTTCATAACTCTTTTGATGTGTGCTTTGGACGTGATCAATTTCTGGCGTCGTTGCCGAGGAGTTAAAAATGGGTTAGCTATATATATTTGGGTATGTTTTTGGAGTATCTTCTTTTCCTTCCGTGTTACTAACTTGTTTGAGAAATCGTAGGTACAACCATGAAAAACAATGAGCTCGGAAATATTATTTTGGGGGATGTGGATGTCGAGGATTAGCAAGTTGATGAGGTTCTTCTTGAACCTCAAGCTAATATAAGAGGCCGGGTGCCTCAATGTCTCCGTTCCACCCCCACCTCCACCACGAGCGACTCCACACCGGGTGTTACCCAAATGAAGGATATGCAAGTTCAATAGTCCCTCCCCGTATTAGGACGAGCAACTTTCAAATCACCAATGTGATGCTCACTTTGCTAGAGAAACAAGGTTTCTTCACCGGTGCTCTAAGTCAAAATGCATACAAACATTTGAAGGGATTTGTGGACACTTGTTGGGGGAGCAAACAAATAAATATCTCTGAGGATGCATTGAGGCTAAGGCTTTTTCCCTTCTCTCTACGGGAAAAAGCTTTAGATTGGTTGGAACATTTGTCGAACCATTCCATTCACACTTGGGATGAGTTGGCGGAAAAGTTTATTTCTAAGTTCTTCTCTCCGGGGCACATGGCTACACTTCAGGATGAGATTTTGGCATTCAAGCAAGAGCCAAATGAATCACTACACGAGATATGGGAACACTATAGAATAATGGTTAGGGAATGTCCCAACAATGATATGACGAAGAATATGATTCAAAAAACTTTCTACCGTGGGATCAACACAACCAACCAATGTGTAGTGAATCAACTTGTAGGTGGGAACTTCATGACTACGCCTAGGGGTGTACAAATCGAACCGAAAAATCACACCAAATCGATTAAAAAACCCGACTTGGTTTGGCTTGATTTGGTTTGGTATTGAGTAAAAACAATCTGAATCAACACGACATATAAATATATAATTTTTATATATACATTTAATATTTTACATAGAATTTTCTTTAAAAAATGTGTAAAAATTTTGGGATTCTCTTGCAGGATATAAATTTTAATAGAATATGAAGTGCTCCATATTTATTGACCTTAAATAATGGGTTGTATGATCATTTTCTTATCAAGTGTTACTGAAATGCGTTTATCTCTTTGTTCTTCCATATTCATATAATATGTTAAGATCTATTAAATTCTTATAGCTTTTTTTGAATGTGAAGTGATTATTAATATTTAGGTATCATATTGATTTTTATGTTTAATTACTAGATTTGGTTAACCTAAAAGTGTATATCAACGAAAAATTATTGTCAGACGACTAAAAAAATAACTATTATATTTTACTAATAGAATTCTCCCATAAGAATATTTTAATCGTTAATATATTTGTCAATTTTTTATATTTTTACTAAATATATATTTACTTATCAAATATTTAACAAAGTAAGATTGAAATAATATTTAAGTAACAAAAGACCAGAAAACCCAAAAAATCCGACAAAATCGAACCAATTCAAACCGATATAGTTGGTTTGGTTTGGTTTTGATAAAAATCGAATCAACCCGGTCCATGTACACCCCTAACTA